GACTTGCAAGATTTAGCCGTTACGTACATGAGGCCCCGCACCCCCTTCAGCTTGAAGCCGCAATGAAGAACAAGTTCTTTTTTCAGGGATTCCCGTTTTCACCGCTTACTAGAGGGGTGCGCAAGTTGGGGATGAACTTTCAAACTCGTCCCTGCAAATTCCTACATACGTAACATACCCAAAACACTCAGTACTGTTCTTGCCAGTGCTTTGATACGCTCAGGGAATGGGAACTCGTGGGGCCGGGGCAAACTTGTGCATTCCGCCGTATTCCCACTATTGCTACAAGCTTCGCACGGTTTCACAAGGCTCCGGAAGAAGTGTTTCCAGTACTAAAGTTGCACTACAAGGGGTCGAGTTCGTGCCTGGACAACTTTGGAAAATTTGGGGAAACTTCGGAGGGGGCGTTTCCAGTATTTCAATTGGACACTCAAGCGGTCAAGTTGACGCTTGGGCAGCTTCAATCAAAGTGAGGGTCGTCGATTCCGAGCGGAACTTTGAGGATGCTCCACACGTGAACGGACCCACCAAGCACATCAAGAGGGTCGTCACTCGTGTGCATAATTCCGCGCACTCTCCACGCGCCAGAGTTCCGACACGCCGTGATCACGAGAAGGTCATCATTTGTGTGCAAAATTCCGAGGATGCTCCACATGCCCGCGCTCCGGCCCGCCAAACGCACCGAGATCGTCGTCAAGTGTGTGCAAATTCCAAGGATGCTCCACGTGCCAGCTTTTAGACACGCCGTGATAACGAGAGGGTCGTCACTTGCGTGCAAAATACTGAGGACGCTCCACATGCCAGCGCACTTTTAGCGAGGTGCGGCGGCTCCCGCCAGCCCTACCACGTGCTTTGAAATTTACAACGCCCTAAGTTTAGAGAGATCATGTAAACGCAGGGCATCATCACGCCGTCCTGTTATGTGATACTTCACGACGACCTTCATCCGAGACCTCACAAAGACCTTCCATCAGACCATCATCTCACGCCGTCCTTTTATCCGGATACTTCACGACGACGACCTTCAAGACGACCTGCCTCACATCTACTCATCGCCATCATCACACGATCCAATTACAACACCTCCACGCCATCCATTCGAAGACCACCTCCATGAAACAACCCTTCACCCATTGAACCCACACCCAAAACTGAGCGAGTCCGGGGCCATTGAGCAAGGCGAACACACAGGCGAAAGCTCCGGCTGGCGACGGAGGTCCCAATTCCGCAGGAAGCTGTTGGCTGCGGAAGCTTCCCGGACATCCAAGAGCCTCCAGCTCTGGATTGCTTGAAGCCAGGCCTGACCAGCCCAAACCTTGCACCCGCCTGGTGTAGACATGTCCAAGTTGTGCTGAAAACTACAGGCCTCGAGCAAGGCCAAGCCCAAACCTTGCACCAGCCTGGTCTGGACAGGTGCAAAAAACCAAACAAGAAGACAGGAACGCGATCAGAGTTCAAAAGAACCCTGAACCGTAGAGATTGAGGCGAGGGTGGAGCACCAGCAGGGGTGGGTTCAGCATGAGCACATCCCCTCACTAAGATGTTTGACACCTCCGATACATACCCCGAGACATACCTCGATACATGCCCCGATACATACCCCCACAACGTCCTTTCCGTCAAGACCCCGGCACTATGAAACATACCCCGAAACATACCTCGAAACATACCTCGAAACATACCCCGAAACATACCCCCAAAACATACCCCCAATCCAAAGATGCGGTTTTGGCCGTGGTTTAGCTGGAAACACACATGGGGCCAGAGCCAAAAAACGAAAGAACGACGCCGTGAATAAGGGCGAGACCGCTCTGAGCCCTGAAAGAAGGGGGGAGCAGGCAACCAAGGACTGAAACTGGAAGCCTTTCGGGGCTGTCTTGCCAATAAAACGCGGGAGTTTCAGGAAATCACGTCGGCCAAATTGGCCAGTGCACTCAAGAGCCTTGAGAGTAGAACGGTGGCCCGAATAAAGCAGGTGCAAAGATGCTTGGGTGATTGCATGGTGCAGCTTTAGAGAAGCCAAAGAACGGGAGCACAGCGGTGAAGGAATAAAGGCAACCAGGAGGTTGGAGACGTGACGCCAGGAAAAAACCTCATCGCCTTTGACTTCCAAGTTATGCTGACGGACCTGAATGTGGAATCCTAGCTGGACAACGACCATTTTGTCCAGGGGCAAAAATCTAGTGGCATGATCTGCCCTTTCATGGCTCGTCAGGGAGAGAAGGATGCAGATTTCGGGGCACGAATGACGAAATTGATCCAGAAGGTCAAGGATGCGCTGCAGATTGCAAACTTACACGATACGGCCCCGATACGGCCAAAATCCGAGACAATGTTCGCAGCCTCTAAGCGAGCCAAAACGGGGGGATAGTTCCCAGGAATCGGCAAGCGCTGGCGTGCGTCCGCCTTGGCAGCCTGCTGCAAGAGATCGCAATGTCTGGCGAGGCTTGGGGTTAGGGTTGGCAATCGGCTGGGGGCCTTGGGGGGGGCAGGACTGGCCGCAAAATTTTGGGTGGGGAGAGGGGGAAGGCTGGGTCCTGGTCAGCTTGTTCCAGACGCCTGTCGGCCAGAGGCCGATGCGAATATTGTTAGTGTCGTTGATAATATCAGATTTTCGCACAATATACGTGTTGCACGCATTTTTACACGGTGCGCGAATCCACGGTGCAAAAATCAGCTCATGCAGTATCCGAATCAACCATCTGCGTATTTGCGTTTTAGTTTCACCAGTCCGCAGTGCCCGAATCCGTTTGTTGGATGAACCAGCTGGCACGTTAATCGGCCAACGTCGTCTGCATCTCAATTCGCGAATCAGTCTCAAACCTTTTGAAATGAACTGGCCAAGCAGGATCTAGGACCTAGGATGATCTAGGATTGTAGGGTTGCCAACTGTGTATGTCGAGCTTTGAAACTTTCAGGTTGTTGCTTTAGATCATGTTTGCCTGCGTTTTTGGCGCTCACAACAAACGTGCAGACAATTTGGCAGACTTGGCAGGCGGTGGAGACTCTCGAACGAGAGAATCAGTGGTTTCGATCCGGAGGTCGCATCAGCTTGTGTTTGGTTGGGGTGGGGGTGCAATGGTTTGTCAGAGGTCATGACCGCTATGAGGTCCTGGCCTGAGAGGGAATGTGCGTGACAGACGCAAAAAGCTACTGCTAGAGGCACCTGGTGGGTCGTTCACAGCTTCCCTCCGGCGGCTTTTTAAGGTGGTGCGGACCTCGTCACGTGGTTCAAAGGATAGGTGTAGTGAAAAGATGATCCTAAGGCCATTGGCAAAAGGGATCCATCTGAAACTGCGTCCACAAGTCCATCTTCGCAATCTGCCTGAAGAAAAGAGCATGTGTCGCTTTGTTTTCTGGTGTCTGGTATTGACACCGACGTGAACCCCGCACGTCATAAGTGTAATGATCACCGCAGCTGTTTCTCAAGGATGCAGGCAGCAAGTTCCGGCATCCGCTGCTGTATGCATGGCAAAGCCGAAACAAATGCTGCCAGGACGCCAGACTTTTCCCATGAAAGTTCTCCTGGGCCGCCTTGAGCAGGGGGCTGCAGCACCGTGGTCCAGCTTCTTACCAGATCACTTGCGGCCCAAGGGTGTGACCGCGAAGGTTTTCGAGCAAAGCGTGCCCAAGGACACGAAGGCTAAGCTAAGCTACGAGAGCAAGGCTCACAAGACTGAATATTCTCCATTGGGCATATGTGTCATTGGAAGAGTTTGGGAGTACTCCCAAGATCCTGTTGGTTGTAGAGAAGTGCAACATGCTATTGAGTGTGCCGACGAGAAGACTCTGCTTCGAATTGCCGCCGAATTGCGCGACCACGTGCCTTGTCAAGATGGTTTGTGAATCAGGCCACTGTGTTTGACTTGGTGCTGTATATTTGTGATTGGCGTCGGGCACCAGTGCGAGCAACATGTCGTGGCTGAACGAATTGCCACTGCCATTCATATCTTGAAGTCACTGTTATGCTGGCCCAAATGCTTTCCGTGATTCGACCAGGTTTGGGATGCGACATGCTGCCCCCATGCCAACCATGTGCTACAAAAGTGTATTTCAGTCTCTTGGATGGACATTGGCTGCACGTGTGCGCTGTGATGTATTGTGAGACGGTGCTTGCGACAGAGTCTGATAACAAAGTCATGCCTGGCTGAGTGGTGCAAGTAGCATTTGCATATGTGTGTCTGCTTGACGTGTGAGAAGTCTCGTAACTAAGCCAGTTACAGCATGCTTGAAAGCAGCTGAAAATGGGGGAAGGCGACTTTGACCGCGCAGGGATGGATCCTTTCCATGAACATCCTGAACAACGCACATTTGTTCCGAAGGATCTCTTTTGGCAAAATTAGAGTTGGGCTGAGTTAGGTGAGCTGAGTGTCTGGCGGAGACAGCTCGCGCATCTGTGACGTATGGACAGCGAGAAAAAGACAGTAACCGAGGCGGTTCTGTAAATCACACTGGCACTTGGAATGGCTTTGTCGCCTAGACTCCCAGCTAGGATCAACAGCAACCACGGCGCCTAGAACATGGAACGTCAGTCTGCCAAAATCCATGGGTGGCAGTCGAAGCCATGCAGCCGACGCCTCGCAGCCACGTCCACAGCCACAAAGATAAGGACTAGCATCAGGTTCGCAACCTATGTACTTGGCATTGCATACTGGTAAATGTACTTGCTCTCGGTGGGAGGAAGCGAACAGGGACAATGCAGAAGCAAGTGCGGAAAGGAGTGGAAATGGTTCGGGAAGCAAGGGGCAGAAGCGGGTGAAAGGACAAAACAAAACGAAGAGTGGAGGACGTGCACAAGCGAAAGAACGGCGGAGAGAGAGATGGATGGATGGATGGATGGATGGATGGATGGATGGATGGATGGATGGATGGATGGATGGATGGATGGATGGGTGGATGGATG